TTTTCGACTTTCCTATTTTTCTCCGAATTTTAGATTTTATATTTTTTAGCTTTTAGACTTAAATTGTTTAACTTTTGGATTTTCCAAGTTTTCTATTTTTAATTTTTTTTACTTCTCGATTTTTAATTTCTCGAGTCTTCGTTTTTTTGAATTTTGGATTTTTCGACATCTGGTTTTTCAAACTTTTTACTTTCCGATTTTTCGTTTGTTCCGATTTTTTAATTTTTTAATTTTCGATTTTTGAAATTTTTGAATTTTAAATTTTCCTTTTTTCCATTTTCGATTTCTCAATTTTCAAATTTCCGATTTTTCGATATTGGAGATTTAATCTTTTTTACTTTTCTTTTTTTATTTTTTTCCTTGCGTTTTTTCATTTTTCTAATTTTGCAACTCTTCGATTTCTCGACTTTCTGGTAGACTTTTTTATTTTCTCACTTTTTCTAATTTTCGATTTTTGGAAAGTTTGATTGTCAGTTTTCCGAATTTTCATTTTCTCGAATACTTAATTAATCGAATTTTCGATTCTCCGATTTTTCTCCATTTGAGTCTTCAGTTTTTTTACTTTCGCATTTTTCTGTTTTTCAATTTTTCAGTTTTTCGATTTCTAAATTTTTTTACTTCGATTTTTTTGATTTCTCAAGTTCTCGATTTTTCGACATGCGAATTTTCAATCCCCTTTTCGTTTTTTCGTTGTTCCGATTTTGCAGTTTTTCGATTTCTTGACTTTCTGGGAGATTTTTCTATTTCTTTGAATTTTCGATTTTTCAATTTTTCGTTTCTCGAATTTGGTTTTTTTCATTTTTCAAATTCCGATTTTTCGAATTTTCTGTTTTTTGATTTTTTGTTTTGGAAGATTTGTAGATTTGTTCGATTTTTTGGTTTTTAATTTTTGAAATATTGCCCAATTTTCAAGTTTTTGATTTTTCGATATTTGAGACTTCAGTTTTTTATTTTCCGATTTTTCAGTTTTTCGATTTTTAAACTTTTTTACTTCTACTTTTTGAATTCCCAAGTTGTCGATTTTTCAATAACAATACAATTATTTTCCGTTTTTTCTTTTCTGGGAGATTTTTTTATTTTTTCGAATTTCGATTTTTAGAATTTTTAATGTTTCCATTTTCGATTTTAAATTTTTTAATTTTTTAAATTCCGATTTTTCCAATTTTCTATTTTTCGATTTTTGTAGTTTTCAATCTTTCGAATATCAATTTTCGATTTATTCACATTGGAACAATTTAAAATTTGCTTACTTTTCGGTTTTAGGATTTCCCGATGTTACAATTATTTAATTTTTCGATTTTTCAATATTCGAATTTTCGATTTTTTTTCACTTTTCGATTTTTTGAATTTTCAGTTTTTCGATTTTCGATTTTTAGAATTTGCCATTTTTCGGTGTTCCGTTTATTGGAGTTTTATGTTTTTCGCTATTTTTGTTTTTCTATTTTTGTTTTTTTTTTATATTTGAATTTTTATGGTTTAACTTTTAGATTTTTCAGTTTTTCCATTATCCAGGTTTTTCTTTCTGAATTTTTTTTACGTCTCGATTTTTCAGTTTTTTCATTCTTGATTTTTGGATTTTTACACTTTTTGGAAAATTTTTCATTTCTCTATTCCGGTTTTTCATTTTTCAAAGTTTTGATATTTCAGTTTTCCGATTTTTAGATTTTAGAATTTTCGTTTTTTCTATTTTTTGAATTTGTATTTCTTTTCGCTTCATAAATTTTTCGATTTTCGATTTTTCAATTTTCGATTTTTTGAATTTTCAGTTTCTCGATTTTCGATTTTTGGAATTTTCCATTTTTCGGTATTCCGATTTTTCGAATTTTAGGTTTTTCGATTTTTTATTTTTCTATTTTTGGTTTTTTTATTTTTTTAATTTTGATTTCGAATTTTCGATTTTTCGACATTCCTATCTTTGGGTATTTGAATTTTAATGGTGTAACTTTTCGATGTTTCAGTTTTTCCATTTTTCAGGTTTTCAATTTTTAATTTTTTTACCTTTCGATTTTTTGAATTTCGAATTAAATTTACTTACCTTACTTTTCGGTTTTACGGTTTCACGATGTTCCAATTTTTAATTTTTCGAGTTTTCAATATTCGAATTTTCGATTTTTTTTACTTTTCGATTTTTCAGTTTTTTCATTCTTGATTTTTGGATTTTTACACTTTTTGGATAATTTTTCAATTTTCTATTCCGGTTTTTCATTTTTCGAAGATTTGATATTTCAGTTTTCCGATTTTTAGATTTTAGAATTTTCGTTTTTTCTATTTTTTGAATTTATATTTCTTTTCGCTTTATAAATCTATCGATTTTCGATTTTTTAATTTTCGATTTTTTTAATTTTCAATTTTTCGATTTTCGATTTTTGGAATTTTCCATTTTTCGGTATTCCGATTTTTCGAATTTTAGGTTTTTCGATTTTTTTAATTTTCTGTTTTTGTTTTTTTTTATTTTTTTAATTTTGATTTTTCGAGTTTCGATTTTTCGACATTCCTATCTTTGGGTATTTGAATTTTACGGTTTAACTTTTCGATTATTCAGTTTTTCCATTATCCAGGTTTTTCTTTTTTAATTTTTTTACGTCTCGATTTTTCGTCTTTCTGATTTTTCAATTTTTTGATTTTCGAAATTTTCGCTTCCTCGGTATTCGAATTTTTTGAATTTTAAATTTTTCGATTTTTTTCATTTTTCCATTTTCGATTTCTCGACTTTCTGGAAGATTTTTTTTATTTTTTCAATTTTTCGATTTTCGATGTTTGAATTTTTTGATAGTCCATTTTCCGGATTGTAATTTTTTCGCATATTTGATTCATCGAATTTTCGATTTTTCTTTTTTTCGAATCTGCATTCTTCGATTTTTCGATATTGCAATTTCCAATTTTTCTTTTCGCTTTATAGATTCCTCGATTTTTCAATCTTCGATTTTTTACATTTTTGGTTCTTCGAAATTACGATCTTCAGTTTTTCCATTCTTTAGATTTTTAATTTTTAAATATATGTACTTTTCGATTTCAGTATTCGAACTTTCGATTTTTTTTGCTTTTCGATTTTTCAGTTTTTTCATTCTTGATTTTTGGATTTTTACACTTTTTGAAAATTTTTCATTTTTCTGTTTTCGGTGTTTGATATTTCAGTTTCTGATTTTTAGATTTTTCGACTTTCGACTTTTCTATTTTCGATTTTTCTGTTTTTTGAATTTCTATTTCTCGATTTTTCGATATTGCAATTTTAATTTTTTTTACTTCTCGATTTTTTTATTTCTCTATTTTTTAATATTCCAGTTTTTCGAATTTTCCATATTCAAATTTTCAATTGTTTTTTTTTCGGTTTATCGATTTCAAAATTTTTGAAATTTTCGATTTTTGGATTTTCCGATTTTTCATTCTCAATTTTTTTGTTAATAATTCAGATTCTCAGGGACAGCAGTGCATTTAATTTAATAAAACCGTAACGTGCTCGCTGCGCTCTCAATCTAAGCGTTCTTTTTTTTTGCAGGTTAGTTTTAATAACATCTAAAATTTAAAAAAATATTGTATAATTTTTTTTTTAATTATTTTATGTTTCGATATTTCGCTTTTCGATTTCCCGATTCTTCACTTTTTCGGTTTCTGGATTTTCTAATTTTTCGATTTTTTGATATTTCAGTTTCTCGATTTTTAAATTTTTCAAGTCTTAAATTTTTCACTCTTTTAAATTTTAGATTTTTTTATTTTTCAGTTCTTCAGTTTTTCGATTTCCCAATCTTTCGTCATTTCAGTTTTGGAATTTTTTACTTTATCCATTTTTAGTTTTTCGAATCCTCAATTTTTCAATTTTCAAAATTTTCGAATTTTGAAAGTTTTAATTTTTCGATTTCCCGATTTTCCGGTTTTTTGATTTTCCATTCTTCAGGTTTTTCATTTTTAATTTTTTTTACCTCTCGATTTTTTTATTTCTCGAGTTTTCGATTTTCTGAATTCTGGATTTTTCGATATTGCAATTTCCACTTTTTCTTTTCGCTTTATAGATTCCTCGATTTTCGATTTTTCAATCTTCGATTTTTTCCATTTTTGATTCTTCGAAATTTCGATTTTCAGTTTTTCCATTCTTTGGCTTTTTAATTTTTAAATATTTGTACTTTTCGATTTTTCAATATTCGAATTTTCGATTTTTTCTACTTTTCGATTTTTCAGTTTTTTCATTCTTAATTTTTGGATTTTTACACTTTTTGGAAAATTTTCGATTTTTCCATTTTTTTGAATTTCTATATCTCGATTTTTCGATATTGCAATTTTAATTTTTTTTTTTACTTTTCGATTTTTTTATTTCTCTATTTTTTAATATTCCAGTTTTTCGAAATTGCTATATTCAAATTTTCAATTTTTTTTCTTTTCGGTTTATCGATTTCTCGATTTTATAATTCTTCAGTTATTTGATTTTTCGATTTTTGGATTTTCCGATTTTTCATTTTCAAATTTTTTTGTTAATAATTCAGATTCTCAGGGACAGCAGTGAATTATATTTAATAAAACCGCAACGTGCTCGCTGCGCTCTCAATATAAGCGTTCTTTTTTTTGCAGGTTAGTTTTATAACACCTAAAATTTTTATAATAATGTATCATCTGTTTTTAATTATTTTATACGTAGGTTTTTTATCTAATTTGTAAAAAAAAAACTAAGAATCAGTTAATTTGATAAAAATTATCACCAAAGGAATCTGACTTGACAAGCATCAGGTCACCGTTCAGAATATGAGGGAAGTACTGTATAAATTCTTTGGACCGATTGTTTTCAACTAAGTAAGTTGTTTTCAACGAGACGGGAAAATTCCATTGCCATCTTTGACCAAACACAATTAAATGAGTTTTGAGATGACGTCATCAAGCTTTTGGAAGGGATTAAATTCCGAAAAATTATATTAAAACAAAAAAAAGCTGCGATGGGATGTCAAGAATGGCCATTTTACTGTAACTTTCGGCCCCTGTCGCAATTTACGCAATCTAATTGCAATATTTCTTACTTAAATCAACATCCTTCAGCTGCAACGCCCCATAAAGCACTCCGATCACTCATAACCACGTCAAATCTTGCTCAATCAGATTACCATCCAACGAGACACTAACGGCTTCAAAATAGCTTCCTAGAAATGTTAACGTAATTTAGCACTTAAACAATTTATCTAAGGTCAATGGACGTGAATAATAAAATCCCGCACAGTCGGCGCTTCACACACATAAAAATCACCCTCAATAATCCCCCAATTTCTTACTTAAGCCGCGCCGAAATAACTCCACTACTTTACAAAATGAATACCACCAGCAATATTCGAACTTTAATTAAACCCAACTTTTTCGCCCTTCGCTTGAGAAAATTAACCGGATCTGAGCTAAACCCACCAGTCCGAGCAAAAACAGCGATAAAGATGGATCCAAGGGGTTTTCTAAGCGGAAATGATTATGACCAGCCATCAGCTTGTTTTTGATGTACAATGTCTTTCACTGTAGCTCTCATTACTATGCGGTAAATCACGTTAAGTGCTCGTGCGTTTTGCAAAATAAATATACAAAATTTCGCGCAAACCTGTTGTGACGTTGGCGTTGCGTCGAATTGCTGCGATAGTTATCAATTATTGTAGGAAATGCACACGCGATTATGCTTGACCCATTAAATTAAATGGATTCGGCACTATTTGGTACAGTCATTTGCATGAATGGGTTATCCACTTCACCGTACGCCCGACCAGCAAACCATCAAATTTGCATTCAACATTATGAGACTCCTGCTGTTGGCTTAGTGCGAGATCTGTAATTTGATTCCGGGGTAGATTTTTTGCGAGCGTACCAGTAGGGTCAGCTATGCAAATTAATAGGTTAGCACAATAAAATTTAAACTGCACTATAATAGTAGTAATGTATAGAGTAGTCAAGATGTTGTGCAGTCAACAATATGATTAAGTGTTCTGTTTGCAGTGAGTGTAGTATTGTGTATTATATTGAAAGTCATAGGTTTTCAAAATGTCTTTATTTTCAAAATATGTCTTATTTATTATATTCTTTCGTTTCCTAGATAACTACTGTTGTATCTAACTAGATTTACAATCCACATAAAAGTAAGACTAATTAATTATTACACAACATTTTCCTTTTTTTTTGTACACGTATACGACGCGCGCCGGAATAGGATGTCGAGTTCGACACCGACACCGACACCGACACCGGTCTGAACTGAAATAGCCGTTTGGTCTGATTTTACAACGAATAAGTGAACATTTTTGGTACATATTTAGATGGTGTTATTTGAAAATATAATATCACATATTTTACTCGTATTTGACGTACAACTATTTTTTTCTTTAGCTGAGAAATAATCCATGGATTTTTTTCGGGAAAATGTAGTTATTTTTATGTTTTGGAAACATTGTCTTCTACTTTGTATGGATTTTTAAATGTTTTTAGTGACAAATTTTTGTGTTTATTTTCGATACATTGTGTGATATTAACGCTGAGAAAAAAATTATCCAAAACTTGAAAAATCCAAAACTGGAAAAATCGAGAAATTTAAAAACTTTTAAAATTAAAAAATCGAAAAACAAAGATGTCAAGAAACCGAAAAATTCAAAAGTCGAAAAATTGAAATATCAAACAACTGAAAATCGAAATATCGAAGTATAAAACATTAAAAAAAATTGAAAAATTTGAAAATCTACAATCGATTTTTCGATTTTTCAGTTCTTCAGTTTTTCCATTTCTCAATTTTTCATCATTTTTGTTGTAGAATTTTTTACTTTATCCATTTTTTGATTTCTCGATTTTCCGGTTTTTGATTTTCCAATGTTTAGGTTTCTCAATTTTTTGAATTAGTTTTGTGATTTTTCAGTTTTTAGATTGTTCAATTTTTCGATTTTACAGTTTTTCGGTATTCCGACTTTTCGATTTCTCAATTTTCCACTTTTTCGGTTTCTGAATTTTCCGATTTTTTGATCTTTTGATATTTCAATTTATCGATTTTTCAATTTTTCAAGTCTTAAATTTTTCTATATTTTAGTTTTTCACTTTTTTAAATTTTAGATTTTTCGATTTTTCAATTCTTCATTTTTTGATTTCTCAATTTTTCGTCATTTGAGTTTTTGAATTTTTTGCTTTATCAATTTTTTAGTTTTTTGACTCCTCAATTTTCCAATTTTTAAGATTTTGAATTTTTAAAGTTTTGAATTTTTCGATTTCCCGATTTATCGGTTTTTTGATGTTCCAATTTTTAGATTTCTCAATTTTTGATGTTTTAGTTTTGTGATTTTGCAATTTTTTGATTCTAGAATTTTTCGATTTCCCAATTTTTCGTCATTTTTGTTTTGGAATTTTGTACTTTATCCATTTTTTAGTTTTTTGAATCCTCAATTTTTCAATTTTTAAAATTTTCGATTTTTTCAAGTTTGATTTATTCGATTTCTCGATTTTCCGGTTTTATGATTTTCCAATGTTTAGATTTCTCAATTTTGGATTTAGTTTTGTGATTTTTCAGTTTTTAGATTCTTCAATTTTTCGACTTTTCATTTTCTCAATTTTTCACTTTTTCGGTTTTTAAATTTTCCGCTTTTTCGATCTTTTGATATTTCAATTTATCGATTTTTCAATTTTTCAAATCATAAATTTTTCTATATTTTAATTTTTCACTGTTTTAAATTTTAGATTTTTCGATTTTTCAGTTCTTCAGTTTTTCGATTTCTCAGTTTTTCGTCATTTCAGTTTTTGAATTTTTCACTTTATTCATTTTTTAGTTTTTTGACTCCCCAATTTTCCAATTTTTAAAATTTTCGATTTTTAAAATTTTGTATTTTTCAATTTCCCGATTTTCCGGTTTTTTGATGTTCCAATTTTTCGATTTCTCAATTTTTTGATTTAGTTTTGTGATTTTTCAATTTTTCGATGTTTCGACTTTTCGATTTCTCAATTTTTCACTTTTTCGGTTTCTGAATTTTCTGCTTTTTCGATTTTTTGATATTTTAATTTATCGATTTTTCAATTTTTCAAGTCTTCAATTTTTCTATATTTTAATTTTTCACTTTTTTAAATTTTAGATTTTTCGATTTTTCAGTTCTTCAGTTTTTCGATTTCCCTAATTTTCGTCATTTCAGTTTTGGAATTTTTTACTTTATCCATTTTTTACTTTTTTGACTCTTCAATTTTCCAATTTTTAAAGTTTTCGATTTTTTAAAGTTCGAATTTTTCGATTTCTCGATTTTCCGGTTTTTTGATTTACCAATGTTTAGATTTCTCAATTTTTTTATTTAGTTTTGTGATTTTTCAGTTTTTAAATTCTTGAATTTTTCGATTTTCCAATTTTTTTACTTTCCATTTTCTCAATTTTCCACTTTTTCGGTTTCTGAATTTTCTGTTTTTTCAATTGTTTGATATTTCAATTTATCGATTTTTCAATTTTTCAAGTCTTCAATTTTTTTTATATTTTAGTTTTTCACTTTTTTAAATTTTAGATTTTTCCATTTTTCAGTTCTCCAGTTTTTCGATTTCCCAATTTTTCGCCATTTCAGTTTTGGCATTTTTTTTCTTTATCCATATTTTAGTTTTTTGACTCTTATTTTTAAAATTTTCGGTTTTTAAATTTTTGAATTTTTCGATTTCCCGATTTTCCAGTTTTTTGATTTTTCAATTTTTGATGCTTTGATTTTGTGATTTTTCAGTTTTTAGACTCTTCAATTTTTCGATTTTCCAATTTTTCGATATTTCGACTTTTCGATTACTCGAATTTTCACTTTTTCGGTTTCTGGATTTTCTGCTTTTTCGATTTTTTGATATTTCAGTTTCTCGATTTTTCAATTTTTCTATATTTTGATTTTCCACTTGTTTAAATTTCAGATTTTCCGATTTTTCTGTTTTCAATATTTGTTTAATTTTTCTAATTTTTATGTTAATGTTAGATTTTTCAGTTTTTCGACTTCTCAGCTTTTGATTTTTCGGTTTTTCAATTTTTTGATTTTCAAAATTTTATATTTTTCAGTTTTTCGATTTTTCAATTTTTCGCCTTTTATATCGATATTTTTTAAATCAATTTTTTTTTAGTTTCAAATTTTCAATTTTTCAATTTTTAACTTTTGGATTTCTCAACGTTTCAGTTTTTCAATTTTTGGATGTTTCGTTTATTTGATTACTCACTTTTCGAATTTTCGATTTTAGGCTTCAAAGAAATTTGAAAATCCAAAATTTAAAAACCGAAAAATGGAAAATCGAAACTCTAAAATTCAAAAAATCGAAAAATTGAAAAATCGAAACATCGAAAAATTGGAAAACCGAAAAACGGAAAATCCGAAAAGTAAAAAATCGGAAAATCGAAAAATCTAAGATCGAGAAATCGAGAAGTTGACAAGTCGACAAATTGAGAAACCGAAACAAGCCAAAATCGAAAAAAAATTGAAATGAGAAAATCAAAACATCGATTAATTGAAAAATCGAAAGAGTTGAAAAATTTGAAAAGATAAAATTTAAAAACCGAAAAACGAAAAATCGAATTTTCAATTTCTCTATTACTCGATGTTTCAATTTTTCAATTTTTGGATGTTTCGATTGTTTGATTTCTGGATTTTTCGACTTTTCGGCTTTTCGATTGCTTATTAGATTTTACGATTTTTCAGTTTTTCAGTTTTCGATTTCCCAATTTTTCGTCATTTCAGTTTTGGAATTTTTTACTTTTTTGACTCTTCAATTGTCCAATTTTCAAAATTTTCGCTTTTTTAAGTTTTGAATTTTTCGATTTCTGGATTTTCCGCTTTCTTGATTTCTTAACTTTCGATGTTTTATTTTGTGATTTTTCAGTTTTTAGATTGTTCAATTTTTCGATTTTTCAGTACTTCACTTTTTCGGTTTCTGATTTTTCTGCTTTTTTTTTGATATTCCAATTTCTCTATTTTTCAGTTTTTCAAGTCTTCAATTTTTCTATATTTGAATTTTTCACTCGTTTAAATTTTAGATTTTTCTATTTTTCAGTTCTTCAATATTTCTGTCTTAGTTTCTCTAATTTTTAAATGTTAGATTTTTCAGTTTTTTGATGTTTCGATTTTTCGACTTCTCAGTTTTTGATTTCCGGGTTTTTCAATTTTTCGATTTTTAAACACATCGATCGTAGATTAGC